AAGGGCCCCTCAAGCATTTACCTGTATGTAACAGTTAACAGTTTGGTTATGCAAATATGAAGTGTTTCCTGAGTTTCCTGAATGTTTGCCTTTTGTAAAGCTCACCCGCTCTTCTAAATGTTTGATTTAATAATTCCAATATGCTGTATGGAAGAGAGAGTGAATGAGAAAGAATGGGGGCTAAGAAAAAGGAGAAATTAGTGGAGATGACAGAGAGAAGTCAAGGTTGAAGTCACGAAGCCAAATCAAGCAAAAGAAAATGGAAAGACGGCGGGGAGGAAAGAGTGCATCCAGGAAACGGCTTAGTATAGGCTTGATTCACCTCTTGGATAACTGCAAACAAAAGCAATGAAAGTAGGAATGCAGAATGCCGAGCACAACGAGGGCAGCTCGGTGCTGTGTATTCCCACTTTCGTTTCTTTGGCTGGGATGTCTCAGTTCCAGGATCTTCTTGCACGGTGCGTGCTGGGAGGGGCAGGGACAGAGAGGAATGACCTACAGGGAATAGCAGAGTGTCCTTGTCCCCTCTGCTAGCCTGGCATTGCCCCAGCCCGGCTGGGCAGCTGCTGGGGGCTCAGGGATGGGCTCGGTGTCCCTGCAGGGCTGGCACAGCGCTGGGGACAGGCGTCCGTCTCCAGCCACTCCTCGGGGACAGCAGTGGCAGGGCTGTCCCTAGAGCCTGGCACTGGGATTTGCTGCCTGTGCCCTGCCGTGCGGCTGGGAACGAGGAAAACGACCATGGAGCCGCTTGGTCTGACAGAATTCCTGAAAGGCAGCCGGCTCTGGAGGTTTGTGCCTGTGTTGGAGGAGTTGTTTAGGGATCTGGGGCAAACCAGTAGAACAGGCTGGTGAATGCACACGGTAGGTGCCAATCTGGGTTGCTGCCTTGTTCGGGAGTAAACAACCGGGAGCCATTGTTCATCTTCCCAACTCTCTGCAGGACACAGGCTGTAAATTACATCCAGGAACAAAAGCTTGACGGGAGTAGAACCGGGCGCTCAGCTTCCCAAGGGAGTGCTCTGCCCTCCAGCCAGAGGAGCAGCTTTTCTTGCTCCAACCAGCACAGGCTCTTCTTGTGCCTGCCATCAGCACCCAGAGCCCAGGAAAAGTGGGCAGCTCGGGACTGCAGCATTTACAACCCTTGCCACTGCAAAACCTCTTCTCAGCATCGATAATGAAAATTAAATCTACTCTGAAATTGAATCCAGTCTGAAATGCAGGAAACTAGATTGCAGTCTAGGGACATGGAGGAAATCTTATTAAAAATAGCATATTTTATTGGTATTACAGATAAGTGGGCATGAAATCCTCCCTGCTCTCCCAAATCTGATTTTCAGCCAGTCTCACAGATCATCTGTAGTCTACACAAAATGTACACAGCCATGACCAGAACCACCTAATGACATTTGTGCTTTTTGTATTCACTAAGACCAGTTGTTGTTCAACTCCCCATAACAATCTTGAACTATTCACCAAGTTATGCTCAGAAAATTATTTTCTAATTAAAAAAAAATTAAAACTAGGAGCTGTATTTTTTTAAGAAATTTTGGGGTTTTAGAAGACAAATGCCAGCTGTTTTCACAGAAACAAAATTCCATTCTACCCTTCTTTCAATTTCTCCCATTCAATAGTGAAATTAATCTCCATTGATATCTTTTTTTCCATCAGAACTATAGGTTCATTCAGGTACATCCATTTTCTTGTCTGTCCACAAAATAAAATCTAAATATTCATTTTAAGGAGAGGCTGCACCACCGAGTTCAGTGGAATTTTGGTCTTTCAATTAAGCTAGGCCAGAATTTCATCCTTTATGTGAATTCCTGCAAAATCCCCAACTTTTTATACCACTGTAAGCCATGCATGTTCTTTTTCTAGGGCTCCAACATATGCACTCCCTATTAGGATTTTTAGCAAAATTAATTAGTGCTGGCTACAGTTCACATATGTGATAAAATCACAAATGAGTTATTTTGGTGTTCCTGTACTATATTTTGCCATCACAGATTCTGTATTCACTGTATCAAATGTGTCACAGAAAAACTCTTTTAAATGCTGGGATTTTATCCTTTTTCAGTCTTATTGTTTCATTCTCTTTTGAAAACTTCATTCATTAATCATTTTACAAATTTTTGGTGCCAGTAGTTTAGCTTCTTGCTGCCAAGGAAGTAAGCAAACTCCAAATCTCAGATATTTAACTGTACTGAGGGGCTCAGTAAGGGATGCTCTGCTGCACTTCTTCAGCTGAAGATTTGCTTCAGGATTTTTCTGTTCCTATGTAATAAGGTTTTCCCAAATTAAAGGAGAAGTTATGCACTTCTCACAAAGAAATCCCCCAAACAAGACAAAAACAAACCCAAAAACCAAACCAAACAGTTTTTCCAGAGCTGTACATCTGCTTTGACTAAATTTTCTGGGCAGCATTATGCCCTGCATGTCTGAGACTGACATAAGCTGACCGTGCTTGTGTGGGAAAGAAGGAAATATTTTTGTGTCATTTTTTTTTGTTGGAATGCACACGTGTGTCCTAGGCTGATGTATAAGCAGGAGATGGCACGAGGAATGGCCAAATACAAACATGTCCCATACAAACAGCTCATTAACTATTTTTGTGATTCATCACATGAAAGGACCTAATGTTATCAATTATTTTGCTTGTGTAGATCTGTCTTTTCCTTTTGCATTATGCACTAGCACCTCCATGCACGTGGTCTAATCTTAGCCCAATTTTTCAGGGCAACAAGCAAGAGAGAGTCTTTCCAAAGCAGAATACCACCCACCCTTGCTGAACACATGCAGAAGTGTTCAAAAGACTGAGATGAATAACAAGTAATATTTTGGTATCTAGAAAACAATTTGTTAATAATCAGGTGTCAGAAGGGCTAGAATTAGAAGCTTCAGACCATGAAGAGACTAGAAATTTCCACTCCTGGCTAAATAAGACTATGCCTGTATCCCTAAAATGGACATTGTTCTCCCTTTACCTGTGCAAAAAACCCACTTTTTTTTCCTTTTTTTTTTTTTAAATTCTGTATCATTATGAATACAGGATACTAATGGAGAGGCAATTTATGTTCATCAAAAAATAGGACTCAAAATTTCCTGAATTTTAATTAAATGCTTAATTATTCTGTTTCATCCATAGGACGTGAATTTTAAAAGTAATTTAGCAACTGAAGAAAAAGATATGCTTAGTAAATGTAAAGCATTCATTAACTGTGCACTAGCATTTTGAAATCCCACTAAGCTTTATTCATGGATTTTGATGCCAAAACATTTCTAGATATAAATGTACAGGATTTTACAGAACTATTTCTCTTTCCACTTTAGACAATAAGATTGGTTTTAATTGCTTTTAAAACCATTTCTTAGGAAAAAAAAAAAGTGACACATTCACTAAAGATAATGTGTTATCTATTATTTCAAAGTTGCTAGCTTCGTAATAAAAAGATTCCCTGTGTTTAAAGGAAAGACTTTTCACTTTAACTTTGTCCCATCAGATATTCTTCTAGACCTGTAGGAAAAGCCTGTTGGAACCTGTTGCTAAAACTTTGGCTGGTTGAGGAAAGGATAGCCAGCCATCTCTAAGTCAAAACACACACACAAAAAAAAGGCAAAGTCCTGAAAACCTCTCTATGTGACCTCCTTGTGCTGTGGCTGCAGAGACCTGTCTGTATTTTTCCATTGTTTGTGTTAGCGGAGATTAAATGAATGAGAAAAGTCTTTCAAGTGGGAAGATCGACAGAATGGTAATCTGATAGGGGACTATTCATTCTGGATTTGGCAAGGGAGACTGAAATTGGGGCATTTCTGGCTGTTAAAGGTGAGAAGTGCTGGTGACCCCTGAGCAGCCCCTCATCCCAGGGCACAGGAAAACCACTGTCACAATTCCCCAGCTCCAGAGAGAGCCCGGTGCAGGGAGACACCACGGGAATCTCCAAGGCATGCAGCACACAAGCCTTTTGCTTATCTACAGAGGCGCTGAGGTTTTCACCAGGGGTTTCATGGAGAGCCAAACAAAACCACACACTGCAATGAACATATGTCCCTCAGGAGCTGAGACCTTGTCTGAACTCAAGGATCTCCTGCCTTTTCATCCTGTTTCTCTGCTTTTCTGAATCGGGAACAGGAGGAAAAATTCCTTCTGTACCTCGTGCCATCAACACAATAAATATCAGCCTTAGTCCTCAGTGTCACTTCTGGCACTGGCATTATTCATCATTCTTGTTGGAGCAGCCTGTGCAGGGACATCAAGGGCAGAAAGGGCTGTGGGAAACTGAAGTGCCTCAGTTTACCTTCTGCATGAGGTTATCCTCCAGAGTGAACAAAAACACTGCAGAAAGCTTCACTGCAGAACAGGCATTTCACTTGTTCTTAACTGGACTGCAAAAAGAGAAAATGGCGAGATGGGAATAAGTAAGCAAAATATTTGGGGGAATATCTAGGCTGTTACAGATGCTTTACAAGGGTTCAGAAACTCTAGTGCTTTTATGTTCACTTGGTTTGCAATTATGAAGAGATTTAAGTGGCAGGAGGAAAAGCTTATAACAAACAGTGCCTTTCTGAGGTAACTCAGGAGAGATTACACAAATTTTCCTACAAGCACACTACTAGACTTGTGCAAGAAGAGAAGGTTTAGTGGCTCTTTAAAACTCAAGTGTGCCTGCTTAGTCAGTACTAGCTCTCCTTCCACTCCCCCTTCTTCTGCTGCTGGGTAACTTTTGTTGCAATATGGGTGTGACTTTTGATGGAGCTTCCCCCTCCCAGTTATGTCATTACTTCAGTTCCTTTGAATCAGAATAAAAAGTGCAGCAAACTTCAGACTCATTGACTGCAGGCTTAGCAAGCGTCGGGGCTTTACTTCTTTCTGCAGCTTGCAAGGATCTTTGGATTTTGCAAAGCAGTTCCAAGAAAACAATGGCCACCTTCTCCTTTTGGGCAACTTTTGGATTATGTTTGCTGAAGCTCTGTCTAACAGAAACAGGTAAGATTTTTTTTTATGAATGAAAACACTTACGATTGTTAAGTTAATGCTTGAGACAGCAAGTGCACTTCTGCCAGAGAGCAAAAAGCTTTCTTGCATCTTTATACTTTGATTATTCCAAGTGTTTTCAGAGATGTTTCAGAAGTGTAATCTGAGTTGTGCTGGTCTGTACGATCACGGAAAGCCGTGTATTGCTTGTAAAGGGCAATTCCAGATCTATAAAAACTGAACTGCAGAACATTAAAGAATGAAGTTGAAACTAAGAGCAGAACTACTCCCGGGAATTCGGCACGGCTCTGGAAAAGCTCATTTGGACACTGTGAGTGCTGCTACAAACGCAGTTTGCCCTGCCAGCCCCGCTCGGGACTGCAGCGAGAGGAGGGTGGAGGGAAGGGGTGAGCCCCCCCAGCTCACAGCTGCCTGCCGGAGGGGACAAACCGCGTTTGGGCACAGCCTTGCCGAGCAGGAGAAGAACTGCAGGGACCTCTGCTGAAATCTGGAGAGCTTTTATGCCAAGCATGGCTCTCTAAGGTCTCTTTGGGGCTGACTGATGGGCTTCTGGAACAAAGAGGGTTGGAAGTGACAAAGTTCAGTTGTTTATCACATACCATCCTGCAGCTTGGTTATCTGCTTCAAATATTTGCATTTTAAAATCTAGGGTTAATGCAGAGAAAAAAAATAAAAAATTTGTGTCCAAAGTGACAAAAAGCTTTCGAAATTTCACGTGGTTCAGACTCAACCATGTTTAAGGGGAATGACCACACTTTTAGCAGACTCTCACTGTGACTGCAACTACCTCGAGGCATTTTGTGGTTATGGATAACAGTTGTGCTTCTACGTTGTTCTTGTACTCATCAGTTCCAGGAGTCTAACAAAATGCATTTTTCATGGCCATCGTCACCCAAGGGCTGTGTGTGTGTGTGTGTGTGTATGGTAAATATATGTTTCATTTTCTTGAGCAGCAGGGGATGCTTCTGTAATGGTTGCAGGGCTGCCAGGCTGTGAATGGGTGTGTCAGAGGGAACAAGCTCCCAGTGCATCTGTGATAGCTGAAGCAGCCTCATTGCTTTTCTTCCTAAAATCGTGTGTCCGTTGTACCAAAACGCTCTTGCTGAGATCAGTTATATAGACAAAGCCTTAAGAGAAAGGAGAAGTTTGCTGTAGGCAAATAAGGTATGTCTAAGATGTGTTTAAATCCTTGGCTTGGTCCATGTCTGTGTACTGTATAAATATTATAACTGCTCGACTGATTTTTACTTCTGTGAGCTGCCTGGAGTGTCCTGGAGAGCAGGGTCTGCACTGGCTCTGGGAGTAATGTGATTTTACAGAAAGCCCCATAACTGAGCCTTCAGCATGGATACAAAAAAAAAAAGTGTGTCAAACTTCACATATGCCCTCCAGGGAAGTTTCTTTACTGGCTTAGTAAGGTATTAGACTATAGCTACATACAGTATATTTTAGTTGGAATACAGTACATTCCAGCATGACTTTGTAGTCAGTAATGGTTTCAAAACAGCTGTTGATGGTGATGGTCTCTTTTTTTAGCCTGTGATTTTGCCATGTGTCACAGACTAATGGCTATTGCTGTTGGAAAACCCCTGAACTGGAATTTTGATCCTTTTAGTACAGAATTTTATGGTATTAGAGAGGACCTGGAATTACTCTTAATGTGATTTCAGAAGGAAAAATGAGATACAGAGAAAACTGAGAAACTGACTTATCCTGATTTCTGTGGTGTTGTGACTGTACTGTCATTGATCGGTTTCTCACTCATGGTGTTGACGTGGCTTGTCTAAGGAGCCTGGATCCTGGAGGATGTAGATGCTGACATCTTGGGTAACGATGTTTGCAGAGGAGATTTCCTCCTGTGAGCATTGTGTGTTTGCAGAAATATGTTTTCCCTCAAAATTTTCCTTGATTAACACAAAGCGAATCCCAGAATTTTGCCAAACTGGAAGGAGCTGGAGCAGAAGTAGAGATGAAATGGAAAGAGGGAGGATGAGGATGCCCGTGGGAGGAGGGAGCTTGGCTGCTGGCACTGGAGAGGTTGGCACAGCCCCAATTCCAGGTAAAGCTCTGGGACAGAGCTCCTGCAGCTGCTGGCCAGTCATAAAGGAAGAGACCAGCCTGGCCCTCGGTTTACTCATCTATGGTGTAAATTTGTAAATAAAGCCGTTTGAAGAAGCTCTTTGTGCTAGCTCATTTTCGCTCCGTCCTTACAGTGTGTGTCTTGGCAGGTTCCCAAAGCTGCAGAGTAACTAGACTTTATTAAGAGGTCACTTGAACTTTCCATCATTGTTTAGAGGAAGGGTTATGGAGCTGCCCGGGAAGCACGGGCACACACAGAGCCAGCAAAGCCTGGCAGGGGATTGTTTTGCAGTCTTTGGAGATTCTTTAGGTACTGGTATTCACCACAATGAAGAGCCATTACCTTGAAAATAGGAAGTCGGAGAAAGGCTTAATGAGGACAGATAGCATCGTTACAATTGAGGAAGAACTTCTTTAAGTAAATGCTTTTAAAACCACTGGTAGCTCTAGCCAAGGTTTAAAAAAATGTTCATCTCTGTGTGGTGTATCTTTATTTCCAGAAGAGTTCCCATGAATTTTATAGGCCTGAATTGAAGAGAGTGTGAATATTTTAGTTATTCGTCTATCACCTAAACATGAATGAGGTTTGACTACAACCAGGAGTGCCAGGAGTCAGAGACATCATGACATTATGGTAGACAGATAAACATCATGAGCTCATTACTCCTAAAATATTTGTTGAAAAGATGTGATAATATTTGGTAATATTAGTTCTGAATATAGTTGACTGGTGGTAAAACACGTTGTAGAGAAGCAGAGAAAAAGCAATGTGGAGTTCTTTTATGAGGAGAGCGTAAATCAGTCAAAGAATTTAAAAGTTTTTTGACATTCCAAATGCTGTAAAAAGGCTTCTCCATCCGCTTTCTGGTCTTCTTGCATCATATTTTTGTTCCAGAACTAAGGGATAAGTGTTTGAAAATACAGTCAATATGGAAGATGATAATTCTCCCCTGCATATATCACTTTGGTCCTTTATTTTCAAGAGAATATTATGTGAGAGAGCAAGGGAAGGAGTTCAGCAAAACTCACCTCTAAAATTGGTTTTTCCAGGACCAAGGCTAAATGTTTGTAGTTATCTGTGAACTGTAACTTCACAGAGAGGATAATTGAGAAACAAACATGACCCATCACAGTAATCTTGCCTGCTTTGAAAACAATGCAGCATTGCACTGGGGCAATTAATGGTGCTCAAAACACATCATATTTTAGAATCAGCTGGCATCTGGGAGCATGCTGATTTAATTTGCCAGCGTTAAACGGAATTCTTAAAATAGAGATGTGGAAGTTTCCAACTTGCTAGAAAGTAGAACACATCCACAGTCTATTCAGTTTGCCTTTCCCTGTCAGGGTTTGCCTGTGATAAATGGTTTGGACCATTCTCT